GAGCGGGCGGACCCTGAAGGCGGGGCCGCCGCCGGCCGCTGCTGCTTGGCCGTGGTAATGATGGGGTGGAAGCTGCCGCCGCCGCCGCCGTGTCGTCCGGAAACGAACCAATACAGGTGCTCACCCCCCACCCCTCTCGACCACTTCCGGCGCTTGTTTGAATAAAACGACAGAAAATTATTAATAAGGCCTTTCTCTCGTTTGCCCCCACGCGGTGCTTGTCGCCGCGGTTTTGTTTTGTCCTCGATCGGGCGGTCTTCGCGCCGGTGTCTTTTGCACAGAGATGCGTTGGGTTTGCTTTGGTTTTGTTGCGCGTTCCGATCCCCGCGGCTCTCACTTCCGTCGAGGCATCACAGCCGTTTTGCCTGATATTCGCGACAGCAGCATGAGCGCGCCGCAGCCGCCGCAGATGCGGCCTGCTGCTTCTCCGGACAATCATAATAAACCTTTACGCAGAAAAGATAATAATACCCAATAAAATAAATATATAAGAAAAACAACCCATTTTAATCCGCACGGCAGTTAAATTATACGGCCAGTGGCGGCAGCGGCGGCGGCGCCCGATTGGCAGAAGGATCAAGAGGAAGGAGGAGAGAGGGGAGGGGGCTGGGAAGGTGACAACGAGCGGATCTGATACCTCTCGGCGTCATGCAGACCATCAGAAAGGATTGCGAAGCGCTCCCTGCCCCCTCTGCTCTTTATTATTATTCCCCCCCCCCCCTCATGAGATTACACGACTCATCTGTTCGCAGAAAATCATGCATGCGACCGCGGGGAGGGAGAGGGTGTAATAATCGTGATGGACTTGACAGCCAACTTGAAAGGTTTTATACTTTCCATTTATTTTTATTTTTTTTCCCCCATGAATATTTTTCATTTATGCGCGAAGCAGGATATGACGAATAAAGGGGACGGACGCAACACGAGCGTGCGCCACCACCACCACCACCACCGCGGATCGGGGTGAAGGACAGTACCGATGCGATACGCTCATTATTCTTTTTATTATCTTCAATAATAATCAGAAATGTGAAAATACTTAATCCAGCCCGTCCGGGTTCATTCGTTCGTCCGTCCGTCCGTTCGTCCGCCTGGGCTGACTCGGGATGACTCGATGACTCGCCTCTTACACGCGTCCCGGCCGCGATGCGATCTAAATGACGATGCGACGTTCCTTCTGATTAATCACCGCCGATACGGATAAGGCACGTCAGTCTGCTGTCCGTCCGTCCGTCCACCTTCGCCCGTCCGTCCAATTTTTTTTTAGTTCGTATCTCCGATTGTCTAAATATATACTTTAATTCTAGTAGAATGGACGAAGGTACACTGGTAAAATGAAACAGCATATATTGCACTCTTTCTTATGTATGCAACTTATCCAAAATGGCCTTTCAAATTAAATTAGGATTCTAAATTGCGAATTCGGTTCGTAGTCTATTGAATTTGTTCAGGCTTCTAATAATGATCCATTCCTCTTGTTCCAGACTTGCAGCTGCAGGTGCCGCACTCGGTGGCGCTGCTGGAGCGGCTGGACATGGTGTGCGTGGCCGACCGGGAGAACATGCGCGTCGTCTGCCCGTCCGCCGAGCTGCGCGCCCAGCCCGCGCCCGGCCCGCCCGCCACCGTCAAGGCCGAGGACCTGGGCCGCGTGTTCGCCATCGCGGCGTACGGTGAGTGTGGCATAATGTCAGTGGTGGAAAGTGAAAAGGGCGTAATTCCATAGCAAAGTCAGCGGACTTTACGCCCTTTTCACTTTTCACCCGTGATGTGTGTTAGTGTGGTTTACGTGTTATTGTGTGTACGTACGTTAAAGTGTTTGTGTGTTGGTGTACCAGGTAGCAAATGAACCTCTCTCACTTATAAAGTGTGCGTACTGTACCGCAACGCACGGGTGCGGGCGGGTTGCCTACTCGCTCGGCCCGTAAGGCGCCGTGGACAGGGGGATACGTTAGCGTTGGGCAAGCCCGCCCGCACGTGGGCACGTGCGTGCGATACAGGATAACTGCACTTGGATATTTGTGTGTGTGTGTGTGTGTGTGTGTGTGTGACTGAGAGAGAGATAGAGGGAGTGGAGAGAGAGAGAGAGAGAGAGAGAGAGAGAGAGAGAGAGAGAGAGAGAGAGAGAGAAGGACGAGAGGAAGGGCATTTGGAAATATGAGAGAACGCAGTCCGGACATAAAACAGCCGCTCACGAGGACCATCCGCAGGATTTGGTTCCGAACTAGGAGTGGCGGGGCGTGGCGGGGCGTGGCGGGGCGTGGCGGGGCGTGG